GACAGACGAAGTTGCAAGAAGACAAGGACAAAGGTGCCAGAGCAAGCTGCAATGGACTTTTCGTAAAATATTAAGACAACGCTAAACTAACCGGTAAAGTGTTTTTGCATAATTCCTTTATGTAAAAAGGACAGCCCCATGCGGGTAAAATCCCCGCTGGAATGGCAGAACGCGAAACGCGCATATTCAGATAACAGAGCCCAAACCGTCGTCGAGAAAGTTCATAGGAGTGATCATACGGAAGAATGAACGGGCAGAGGAGGGGCTTGAGTCGGTTTACTCTTGTCCAGTTTCGCTTGAGATTCATGTCTCTGCTCTTCAGTATCATAGATAAACAGATACGGGTAAGGAGGCATCGGTTCTTCTGTTTCTTCCCCTGAATGCAAGTGTGGTTGGGCAGGTACGTTGGAGAGGGGAGGTGCGGGTTGGCCTGGCTCGTCTCGACGTCTTCCCCAAGCGAGGAAGAATCGAAGCCACATGGGTTTATTCTTTTCCATCAATTCTGATAGATTGTGAGTTTGTGTAGTTGGAGCAGTAGGTGTTAGCGTACCCTCTTTTACTTTTTCTTGCCATGCGTTCAACGTCTCGGGTGTGAACCCGGCGTTTTTTAACAGGGGATGAATAGCGGCAGATGCACTCTGTAAGAGGAGATGAGATATAGAGCGCGGAGAATGGAGAATGTACCGACCAAAACATCTTGCCGTATCAGAGTACCCATCAATTTTAGTTTTTGGGATTGGTTTACATCCGGGTCTGGGTAGAAACGTCAATTTATCGTCGGTTGACTTTATTGCTCGCATACCTTTTGGCCATGTACCTAGAACGAGATTGTAAGATGGTGCTCATTATAAGCTGGGAGGTGCTCACCAATTGGTAGATAGATATCACCCGCTTTACATCTTTCGACTCGTGAGCTAGTAAAACCAAAGAAGAGTCTGGGCTCACGTTTCCGGATCCAAGAGAGGATCTTTCCATAGGCCAACTTTGAGCTCGTCTGTCATGGTAAACAGATCGCTCCGTCCGACCTTGACCGCACATCTCCTCATCTCTACGCATATGAGTTAGCAAGATAAACAAAAGGAAAGAGGTCCACTCACCCCAAAACATGCGGCCGAGATAGCACCCCTCTGGATTGATCTCACTCGCCAGGGGAATATACACATGCGGATCCTCCGAAATAACATGATAATCCCCATCAATCCACAACATCAACCCTCCCGGCTTCAAACATTTTTCAATCTCGACCTTGGACTTTGCAAAGTCCTTGAGACCC